TCAAAATGGCGTCCGTGTCTGGAGCGTATCTGAATTGTATCTGAGAGTTGAATCTGAATGAGTATCAGAATGGCGTCCGTGTCTGGAGCGTATATGAACTGTATCTGAGAGTTGAATCTGAATGAGTATCAAAATTGAGTCAATGTCTGGAGCGTATCTGAACTGTATCTGAAAATTGAAAGTTGAATGAGTATAAGGATGGCATCCGTGTCTGGAGCGTATCTGAACTGTATCTGAAAATTGAATTTGAATGAGTATCAAAATGGCGTTCGTGTCTGGAGCATATCTAAACTGTATCGGAAGACTGAAAGCTGAATGAGTATCAGGATGATATCCGTGTCTGGAGCGTATCTGAACTATATCTGAAGATTGAATCTGAATGAGTATCAGAATGGCATCCGTGTATAGAGCATATCTGAATTGTATCTAAAAAAGCCTTTGAACTTTGTTAATGGTAGTTATTGATTAATCTTATCCTGAAAAGGGTAAAATATTAGCTAATATGCAATGTCATGTTATATGAAATGCATGGTGTAATGATATTGTGATTCATGCATTCGTGCTATCAGTGTTTATGATATATGGATGCGATGTATGCGTATGTGAGCTAATCTACTGCATTGCTTGTTGGACTGGGGAAAATAAATCCCCGACTGCTGCTGAGGATATGAAGTGTAAGTCTTCATGTTGTGAAGTTGAAGTGTTGATGAACTTCTGTTTAGAGAAATAAAATATGTTGTAAGGTGTGATACAGTGGGAGAACTGACTTGAAGGTATTATGTTTTATCGCAAATGTTGCGGTTAGCAAGAGTCGCCACCGACTTTTCTTTTATCCAAAAAGAAAGGTGAAAAAGCACAGGAAAGACCTTTGAGATGTTTTCTTGAGTTCAGGGGGTAGATTATGAAAAGGGAAGGTATTAGCACCCTATTTCATTCATGGTTTTCCATGGGATCTTAGTTACTTGCTAGATCACTTGCTTTTGTTTGCAAATTATGCTTTGTATGGTTTTTGAAAGTATTTTGTTAAGAGGCCATTGTTTAGGCAATCTTTGTAATGATCCTTGTTTGTAAGAATGTAAACAAAGATGTTTGATATTTTAAAAATGTTTTCAAGTTTGTAAGATATTTGAAAGTGTAGGTGTTTGTTTTGAAAATAGCAAGGATGTTTGTTTGAAATTGAGCAAGTAATTAGGAGTATTCTACCTACTCAAAAGTCTTTCTTGTTCACTTTCCTTTTCCTTTGACATTGTTATCTTACCATTGATTTGGTAAGTAACCCTATCTTTGAATGTAAACGGGACGGACGTGGGTCATCGTATAACCATGATTAGCAATGTTACAAGGTATCTTAGCATTCTATTTTAGGGACTAAGATCATTTAAAAGGCAACTTAGATAGCGTCATTGAGGGACTATGATCTTGTACTTACTTGTTTTTGCTAAGATACCTACATGCGTAATATGGCCATTTTGTACAAGGCAACCAAGTGGAATAACCTTAGGGGTGCTTGTGTGCAAGTGTATTGTTTTCATGCTTGTTTTTGTCTTGAATTAGGGTTTTCTAAGTATTGGTTTTAGTCTTTCCATACAAATCCTAATTACTAGCATATTATGTACCAAAGCGATAAAATTGCGGAATTTAAAGTTACTACGCTATTACAACATTGTGGGAGGGGGTGTACACATTGAATGGGGATTGCAAGAATGTAAACCTAGTTAGTCTATTACAATCATATTGAATTGGTATCAATGTACAAAGAAATAAGTAAATACAAAGTACAAAGTGAATAAATGTACAAAAAATGCAAAATGTAAAGAAAATGGATCTTTGTTTGGTTTTCATGAGAAAAAGGGAAATTGTCTTAACCTAATTAATTAAAGAAAATAATTAATTAAACTTAAATTTATTAAGAAAATATTTTAAATAGAACCCTAGTTCTATTAATTGATTAAAAGAAAATAAGTTTAAGAAAAATATTTTTTGGTATTTTTGTCTTGAAAATATTTATAACATTATAAAATGTTTCTGGTCCATTTTATATATTAAAATAAATATATTTTAATAGATGTAAAAGAAAAATAAATATTAACCTAGTTTTAATTAAATTTACAAGATGATTTGTAAACAAATAAATAAAGTATAGTTAATAAAAATATTTTTTGTGAGAAAAATAAAAATAAAAAAAGCCAAAATATAAATCTATCATTTTTTTTTGTATTTTTATGATTTTTTTGTATTTAGAAAATATATTAAGGAAATCAATAAAATAAAAATAAGAAAATAAAATAAATTGGGCCAGGGGTGCAAACAGCCTGCAAGGGGGTTAGTAAGCAAAAAAATAAAACAATAATACCAGCCCAAAAGGCCCAGGCGCTTGCAAAAAATGTCAGGAATGCAAAACATGTAAAAAAATGCAAAAGAGTACCACTGGGGCTCGAACTCAGGTCCCAAAAGTTACAAGCGTGCGCTTCTACCACTGGGGTGACTATACATCCGTTAACATAAGAAAAACAATAAATATACAAGGCAAAACGCGCCCTGATGACTTCATGTTCAACCTCTAGCCAGACCAACTGTAACTTGCTCATTTCTCATCAAAAATGAAAACTGTAAACATGAAACTTGTAGCAAATTTCCTCACGGTTTCAGAAATATAAAGCATTAAAATTATATATCAAAGATAAGCATGAATTTTAATGACCCTAATCTGAATCCTAAAAATCTCAGAAATTTTAGTTTAAAAATTCTCTAAGCTCAAGCAAAATTAATGGAAACTATGGACATGGTTAGCTTCAGGGCAATGATATCTACATGTTTTGTTCACAAATAAATCATTGATAATGCCTGTATGAAGAGTTCAAAGTTAAGAAAACTTACCTAAAAACTGGAGATCGTGTTTTGAGTTTGAGCTTGTTTCAAGTGACGCTGATGATTAGGTTAGCTTCCTTGAGGTCCCAGGAAGTTAATGCAATGATTAGCTTGAGCAATGGATGGCTGAAATGATCTGGGGAAGTCAATGTGCAGAGATATGTTTTTGGAAATGGAGGATGGTGTTAATGGTGTTACAGTTATGTAACAGGGTGTGGGATCAACTCTATGTGATGTTTAGAAACTTTAGAAACGAAAAGGCCAAGAAACACACGAGTAGATTATGAGTTTCAAGTTTTTTGGTCAGCTTATGTGAAAATAGAAGTGTGAATTGTTATTCTGAGTTCTAGGTATTTTCAAGGCTTGAGAATTCGTGTGTTTGTGTCAAAATGGTTTGTGTATTTATAAACAAAAGTGTTTGAGAGCTTTGGACAATCAAAAGTACAAGTTTCTAGCTTTTGGCTAGGTTACTTGGTTTTGAAGAAAAGAGGGAAACAAGTTTCAAGGAGAGGTACAAGCATGGGATGGGTGATTGTAAGTGTTTGAAACATTTCTCATGAGTTATAGGACCTGTTTGATCAGAAGAGAACAAGTGCAATGCTCAAGAACACATTTTGTACAAAAAGTCACTTTATCAAAATGGCAATGTAACCTTTCTTCCAAAAATGAATAAAAAGCATGTCCATGCATTGAATGCTTGAAGTGAGGCCTCTAACAGCTGTGTAAACCATTAATTATGGAGTGCCTAACAAGTTTGAGGCCTGCAAAGTAGTGTTTATGCAGCATAGTTTGAATTTGAATTTTGTTCATCACTAAAATGACTTGTAATTAAAGTGATAAAACTCTAACTTCATCTCTTCGATTCTCCCTACTCAAGAATGATCTTAAGGAGTTCTTGGACATTTTGGAAAGCTTGAAATGTGCTTTACAATCCATCTTTGAATTGATTTTGAAGATTTCACTTGAAACTATATGAAAAAGTGCCATGAAGTTGGGTAAAAATCCTGATCAAATTAGGGCAAAATTTCACTAAGTGTTTAGTTTCATGACCAAATGTTCATAAATTTATAACTTGAGATACAAGCATTTTTGGAAGGAGTTGTGTAAAGCAAAGTTATATATTTCATGGTGATATACAACTTTCATGTTGGAAGTTTATCTTGAATCATCTTGCATCATGGTGAAAATATTGCTCAAAGTTATGAAAAAACATGAAATTTCCAACACTTAGAAAAATTTCTAAGTTTAGAAATTTTGACTTTTTAAAATGAAATCTTGACTTTTTGATTTCTTGATGAATAAGTTTCATATTTTGACATGTTTTGATGAATTATGATCTTTGACACTTGAATTTGACCAAAAAGTCAAAGTTTGACTTTTCAGTATACAGTTGACTTTTGATCAGTTGACTGAAAATTCATCTGTCAATCCTTTGAACTTGAGTAATGTTTTAGGCCATGTTATTAGGTCAAAATGATGCAATTTGAATATTGAGATCATGCCCTAAACCAATTGATCATTTGATAGGTCAAAAATCAGAAATTGCCCTTTTCCAGTCAAAACCCTAATTTTGACCATTTTGCCCCTTTGGAGATTTGATCAAATTTCTTGAGGAATTATGGTCCAACCTTGATCAAATGATACATATGAGTTTAAAATGTTGACGAGGATAAAAAATTATGAAGTTTGACTGTAAATTGACCATAGTTGACTTTTTCCCCAATACAGTTGATTTTTAGGTCAACTGCTCAATTGACTGAGCAAAAGTGTGATCCAAGGCTTGAAACTTGACATGAGTAATTTTGGGGGTCCATAATGATCCATGAAAGTCATATGGGGTATTGGAAGTTCAAATATCTTTGTGCAATCTCAAACCCTAATTTTGATCATCAGTGTTTAAGGAGGTGTCTTGAACTGATCAAACCCTTATGTACTCTTGAACCCCAGGAGATCTTGTGAGCAAATTCTTGATAAGTGAGAGGGCAATTTTTGGGATACAAGAAGGTCGTCAAATGCTTGATTGTATCATTATAGCGAATGAATTAGTAGATGACACTAAAGAGAGTAGAAAACAGGCAATTACGTTTAAATTTGATTTTGAAAAGGCATTTGACTATGTGAATTGGAATTTTCTAAATTATACAATGGATAAAATGGGTTTTTATGCAAAGTGGATGACTTGGATTTCTGAATGTCTACGAACCGCAACTATTTCAGTGTTGGTTAACGAAAGCCCCACACAAGAATTTTCGATGGGAAGAGGTTTGAGGAAAGGGGATCCCTTGTCCCCATACCTCTTTTTGATTGCGGAAGAAGGATTTAATTTGATGATGTTCAAAAATGTTCATTCGAATCTCCTTGACGGATACAGGTTCGAAAATGGTGAAGTGAGTGTCTCGCACATTCAATATGCAGATGATACCATTGTCATGGGCGAGAGGAGTTGGAAGAATATCTGGGTGATCAAAGAAATTCTTCAATTGTTCGAATTGGATGGATAGTTTAGGTGAGGAATACAAAAGACAAGAAGAGGGCATTAGAGATAGGGTGCAACAAATCAAATTGAAGGAAAATATGAAACATAGATGAAGGTGGTCTAGGAATGAGTACTCGGTTAAAAAGACTTACTCGATGATTATGGACGGCTTGGGATCCAATTGCACTGAAGATAAAGAATTAGTATCCACTTGGAGTAAATTAGTTCCCCTAAAGGTTTCGGTGTTGGCCTGGAGGCTATGGCAAAATAGAATCCCAACTAAAGACAGTTTAATCAAGAGAGGCATTCTGGAAGAATCTCAAAGTTTTTGTCCATATTTTTGCGGAAAAGAGGAAAGTGAGGAACACATTTTCTTTGAATGCCTGATAGCTTTGGTAACTTGGAGCGAGATCATAAGATGGCTGAATTTCTCTTATGTTTCACACAATTCTGCTATGTGGAGTTTTCTCCATTTTGCAGGGTTGTGTAGCGGCGACATAGTTATGAAGGAGAGATTTAGTGTCATCTGGTTCGGCTACATTTGGACAATGTGGAGGAGAGGAAACGAGGAAAATTTTAAAAGTTCAGAGGGACATACAGAGGGAAATTCAGTTTCATATTTAGAGGATATTCAGTTAACATCTTGGAAATGGCTTAAGAGTAAGGTTATTGGCTTTAACCATGCTCTTATCCAATGGAATCTAAACCCGAAGGAGTGTTTGGGATGGAGAAGTTGATTGGGTCTGGAGAATTGGTTAGGGTGTTATCTGGTTTTCGGAAAAAGGAGTTGGATGGGTCTGATTGTTGCAGTTGATTTTTCGTTGCTTCTCGTGCTGGCATTTCATTTTTGCTCCGATGTTTTCTGTTTTCAAGTTTTGTAGGTGGCAGTTTCGAGCTCCTTTCTGGTGCAATTGTTATAGTGCTGATAATGGTTTTGTCTGCGCTAAGTTTGTTGTCTAGTCGGGTTCGCTTCAGGAAGCAAGCTTGAGTTGCAGAAAGAAATTTTTCTATATAGCAATTTGAGTTTTCAGTGTGATTTGGCGATGCTTCAATCTCGGTCTGCTTCTGGTTTTTGGTCGCATTCTCTGCTCCTGTTTTCTAGCATTTATGGCAGGGTTTAGTTGTTCTGGGTCTTAATCTGAAGAGGTGGGTTTTGGAGCTTCTCCTTGTATCTTTTGTATATTAAAAGTAATAGGTTCCAAGGTATTCCTGCTACTGTTTTATCTGTTATGGTTTTGTATTGGGCTGGATTTGCAAACTGTATTAGCATTACTTATGCCTTCCTTTTAATTAATTCATTAGAATTTTTGGCTTTTCAAAAGAAAATCTACTCTAATTAGAATATTTTGTCCCTTTAATTAAGTTGTATCATAATTAGACAGTTGACCAAATGATATATATTGTATTCACATGGATGAGACAAGGCAATCATTCCATTATCAATATGGCTCATGGGTCGAACTCTCTCGCATCCTTACCCTCTCCGATCAGGTTCTACATCATATTGTTTCCTCTATAGATAAGAAATCACTGATAGATACCTCTACTGCCGAGTATCAACAATGGATTATCCTTGACTCTACCGTTCTTTAATGGATATCTTCCATAATTTCCACTGACTTGTTGACCACCATCCTGGAACCAGACTCCACTGCTATGGAATCCTAAAATCGCTTGGCTAATATTTTTCAAGACAATCAGAATGTGCATGTTGTCACTCTTGATCAAGGGTTCTCTAACACTCACATGGAGGATTTTCCCAATGTGTCTGTTTATTGTCAATGTCTTACAAAACTCTTTGACCAGTTTAGAAATGTTGGTTCTCCTTCCAACAACCACTGTCTGGTTCTTCAACTAATATTTAGTCTTCCAAAAGCTTAATGTAGTGTTTCTACCTTGATTCACCAGAGTAATCCTCTTCATGCCTTATATCAAGCTTATTCCATGCTCACTTTAGAAGAAACCAGTATGGCTAAAATGACTAACATTGATTCTCATTCTATCATGCACACCACTCGCCAACGACCTTCGGAAGACAACGACCTTCGGAAGACATCTCACAGCATAGAAACCTCCACCCAAGCAATCATGCCCACTCTTGTTGCAACCAGGGTCGAGGAGGAAAGAGTGGTAATTGTCATGTTTCTCAACCTAGAGCATGAGCAGCAATAATATTGAGCCTGAAAACCATGGGGTTGGACTCCACCACCATGGGATATGCCTCTGTGCCCATATCCCACCTCTCAATGGGCACGCCCTACCGATCCTTCGAAGTATAGATGCATTCTAGGACAACATCCTCAGTTGTCTATGTAGCGCAGGTTGGGCCAAGTAATAAAGGTGTAGCACTAGGTGATAAAATTTCAGTGTCAGGCGATGCATGCGGAGTAGAATTTTGTATTTATTTCATTTCCATTTCATTTGTTATTTTTTATGGGTTTAGGGATAGTTTTAGCTCGCAAATTCATCAACCCTCATTTTTCCTTAGGTTTAGCTTAGAAAACAACATTGAAGCTTGCATACGGATGATCCATGATGGATTTCTCTTTGATCGGCACTGACAAACCGGTAGATTTGTGGTTCATTTATCTTCCTCTTTGTGTATTATTTATTTGTTGATTTTGTATATGTATTTACTTTGAACTCGTGTATATTTATCGCCTATGGTATTGTATAAAACTTGCTTTACAAATCTTTGTCGATTATTATCCTAGATTTTTGCTTTATGCTAGGGATTTTGGTTGCTATAGACATATACTGCTCGAATTCTCATCTAGGGTGATTGCCTAATAGTGTCTAGATTCTAGAGATAGATTTAGTGTTATTATTCACTTGGGTGTCTATGATTAATACCTCTGTGTTGGTTGTGTCGTTCTGAGAGATCGTTGACGCGAGTGACACAGTTGACTTTTGTGTTATTGAGGTTGTTTGAGAGATCGCCACTGAGGTGATAGAGCGGGTGTAGTGTTGGATACGTGTTGACATTGATGAGTATTGTAGGTTTAGTATAATCGGTCGATAGGTTTAAGTCAGTGAGGAGTAGATTATATGCACACCTAATAAGTTTCTTCTTTGAAGAATGAATTTTTTTCGTGTTAATAACTTTTAATTCCCGCACCTTACAAACACCCATTTAAAATCAAACTCATAAACGCGAGATATTATCGAACGGAAATTCAGTAGCATTAATCCATGTGGAGACGATATGATATACCCTATAAAAATATTTACTTTTGCTTTTCACTTTACCGTTTCAGCAATATGCTGCTACTACATCATCTTAGACACCAAAAGATGTTGAGGTTGTTATGGATATCATGTCTCTCCATACTCTTGACAATCAATGGTACGTGGATACTTGCACAACATCTCACACGACAACATAACAAGATAATCTCTCATCTTATTATCATGTAATTAATTCAAATTATAAAGTTATTATTGGCAGTGGCCACAAAATTCAAATTCACGGCATCGAACACATACAAATAGTCTCCTATCACCAACCCTTTCACTTAAATCATGTCATGCATGCCCCGAAAATCATCAAAAAAATTAATTTATGTGAGAGGGCTCACCACTAAAAACAATATCTTTATTTCCTTTTACCCTTTTGATTTTACTGTATCTGATTTTCAGACAGGGATCCTTCTCATGAGATGGGAAAATTGTGGAGAACTATATAATGTCACCACTCCCTTCTATTTTTCTGGTCTTATGTCCAGTCTTTGGCACAATTATCTTGGCCACTCTAGTGTGCATGTTTTAAATTGCCTTCACAATAATAAGTTTATATGTTGTGAACCTTTTGACTCTTCTTTTATTTGTGACTCTGGTGTTTATGAAAACAAGATAAATTATCATTTTATAATCCTCCAAATACAACTTTGGTGCCATTTGATATTTTACATAGTGATTTATAGACGTATCTAATTTTACGTTCTGCTGGTCATAAATATTATGTACTAATTTTGCATGATTTCACAAATTTCTTATGGACCTTTCATATTAGCATAAAATCTCAAGTATTTGAAACATTCAAGTCACTCACAAAACTTATTCATACACAAATTTTGGAAACTATAAATCTTTTCAATGTGACAATGGTGGTGAATACAATAATGAGCTATTTCAAAAATATTGCACTAATCATGGCCTTATTTTTTGTTTCTCTTTCCCCTACACATCCTCACAAAATAGAAAGGTGGAAAGAAAATAAGAACCATTAGTAATATGATATGCACTATGCTAGCTCAGTTTTCCGTTCCCACACGTTTTTGCATCATGATATTCACGTGACAACTTATCTTTTAAACATACTTCCCTATAAAACACTTCAAAATCAGTCACCAACACAACTCTTATATAACTGAAATTCCACCTGCACACATCTATGGGTTTTTGGTCATCTATGTTATCCTTTATTCTTGTCCTCTTAAATTCATAAGGTATAATCTCACTCTACTTAGTGTGTCTACTTGGGCTATCTATTAAATCATAGAGGCTACAAGTGTTATAATTTTTCAAACAAAAATTAATAATTTTGAGGCATGTTATCTTTGATGAAACCCAATTTCCCTTCACCAAGATACACTCTCCTTCCCCTCACTCTTATAATTTCTTAAATGGTGACATGCATCCTTACCTGATACATCAGTGGAAAAATCTAATATCACCATTGATTGCACATACCTAACCAACATCAATAACCACAACTGACTAGCCACCCTCACCCAGAAACCAACAATCACTTTATCATAACTCCCCGATCAACTCACCACTACAACCTCCTCTCCTTCACCACCACCAACCCAACCACATCCACCTCCTCCTACACAAACCATTACCACTCATAGCATGATAAGCATTGTTAAACCCCACAATATATTTACCCTATTAATCTCTCAATATGACCAAACATTCTCTCTCATACCTAAAAACCCCAAACTAGCCTTATCCAACCTGAATTAGAAATCCATAATGCAATTTGAATTTGATGCTCTTATTAGAAAAGATTTGGAATTTAGCTTCTCGTCTTTGTGATTCTAATCTTATTCGATATATGTGGATTTTTTGGTGTAAGAAAAATTCAGATGTCTCCTTTGAATGTTATAAGGCTCATCTTGTAGGTGATGATAGGTTGTAGGTGTAAATTGTGATGAAACTTTCAGTCCCATGGTGAAACCAACTATCATTCACAAATACTCACCATTTCTTTATCAAAATCTTGTACCATTCATCAACTGGATGTGCATATTGCATTTTTACATGGTAATCTCCATGAGATTATCTACACACATCACCCATTAGGTTTCCACACCCCTCATTTTAACACCTTGACTTTAGTTATTTATTTTTAATTGGGTTTATATTAACTTAATTTATTTAATTTTGTGATACATGTATTTTATTAGAATAACTGTTAGTTTATTTAATTTGAGTAATATTAGAAAATTAGAGAGAAATATGTGTTTTCAGTAAAGAGTTAAGGGTGTGGTTTTTTTCTAATTAGAGATGGATTTAGCGACCGATTTCAAAGTTTTTTCGTCGCTAATTAGACGAAAGGACTAAAATGAAATATTTTGAAAGTTAAGGGACCAAGGTGACAAAAAAAATTAAGGGATTAATTTAAACCCAAGGGTATAGTTAAGGGACCAAAATGAGTATTTTGCCTATCTCATTTCAGATAATTGAGTTTATTAGAATAATTAGATAATTATGCTATTTTAATTTAATT